TGAAATGCTCTCGCTTTACTATTTACTCAAAAAAGTGGAAGTGGAAACTGCAGTTCAGCTCTTTTCATTAAAGTGCATTTGGTTTCAAACTTTTTGCTGATGTACAGCCTCGCTTCATTGGAGCCCTGATGCGGAAAGTCACTGTGTGGATAGATGGTATAGAGCAAGGTACAGAGTAAAGTAAACAGGGTGTGCAGTTAAATAGAAAGTGCGAGATTACTCTTATCAAATGTTTGGATGTATCAAACCACTTGAACCTTTGGAAGTCGGGACTAAACACCGCTGGGGGTCTGGGCTTTGACCTGTCAATCAGAAGGGTCTGATAGCAATCTTACGGTCGGTTGTACAGCCTGTCAGTAAGGGGTCTGTTTGGTTCTCTAATCAATGAACTCCAACGCAACCCTTTGAGGCTTCCTGTGTTTAACACATAACTGCTCGAATTTCCTACAAGATAACTAACCAATGTTACAATGGGCTTAATAATAATTACTATATTCTTTGCATTTGATATGGTGTCTTATCATGTCTTTGAGATGATTTACTCTACTGACCGTCCAGGTTTCAGATTGTCCAGGATTTGGCTAATTGTTGAATTCAGTCTTATCTTTGAAGCTGGTGTTCTGTTCTTAAAATAGCTTACAGGACGCCGGCTATATTTAAGAATTTGTCCAAATTCTGGATGCTCTGAAATGCTAAGAAAATAAAGTAAATATACAGACCCAGGTGGAATTTTTACTGTATGTATGAAATTCCACTTAGTCTTTGCATGTAAGACCATTTTGTCTTATCATTGAATTTACTACACAAACTAGCAGGTTTGTTCTCTCTGAGACATCTTTCCTGAAGATCAAAGAGCCCGAGCTCGTCTAACCGTTGCTCATAGCTCAGCCCTCTAACACTGGCGATCCTCCTTGCACTGCCTCTTCAGCTGAACCCATTCCAAACATTCTGTGTCTGTCGGAGCAGGAATCACAATCTGCTTGTTAGAAGTAGAATATTGTCTAAACGTTAGTATCAGGAATCCTTCATGGTCCCACAAGAAGATAAATCTTCATAATAACCAGTCCACTTTCCTAACACTGAAGAGGCCTCTCAAGTAGTTGAATTATTTACAGTGTGTCAGATCCACCCCACAGCTCTGAACTCGGGCAGTTTCGAACCAGGACTGATAGGTCTGTTACAACACATGCTCCTGGCAAATCTCTCTTTGATGTTGGTTTGTGGAGGGGTGGACAGTGAATGACAAAGGCTTAATCTGAAATCTGAAATTGTTTTAATAGATAAACTACTTTTTCTAGTTTATCTACTTCTGTTTAGCATTGTTTAGCTGAAACATTTAGAGTTTCACAGAGTTGGAATTATCCAAGATGAGACAGTGACAATGGCAAACAGCAACTTGGGCATTTAACATCTTCCACGCAGGATGAATGCCTTGAAGTGCTTCACAAAGACACCGGGGGTTCCCTGTTTGCATTCAGTACATCAAGCTGTTTCTTTATCCAGACCTTCACAAGATTGGTCTGGATAAAGAAGTTCCTTTGGCCCATCTGACCTTATCTCATCCAGGACACACAAACTACCCCCCTCCCCCAATTACAGCATCAAGCTGCTTCCAGGATCCTGGTTACTCAATTGTTAAATACTCCTGGGTATGGAAGTTCTTCCTGGTGCCTCTCCTCAAACAGCTCTTCTCAAGTCTCTTTCCTGTGATAGTGCCCTCTTGTCCCGTTGCCTTAGAGTTAGTAGTGAACAACAAGACAGCAACAAATTACATTTGTATAGCACCTTTGCTGGACAGTCAGGGATCTGCATCCGAGCTGGTGGTTAGAATCAGGAGAGGTAGAGGGCGGTGGGGTAGGGGAATGAGGGTGACCGGAGGCACGGTCGAAGAGGAGGGACTTGAGACAGGTCTCGAAGGAGGCGAGGGAGAAGGCGAACATGTAGAATGGAATACCCAGGGGGTCATGGAGACAGATTGACTCATTAGATTTCATAAAGGATTTAGATAACAACAGCAAAGAATTTCATTGGGAAGATTGAAAGACATTCTAACCTAATCTTAACCTGCAAGGCAACAACAAGATACTTTTGCCTTAGACTTTAAGATCATACAGAATTGTGGAAAATACTTAAATTCAGTCTAAATTCATAAGGCGGTTCTTTCAAAGAGTTGAGGAAAACCGGCTTGCAAGTGAGGAGTGAATTTTAGAATTTTTTTAACCAACTTAAGATAACTTTTAAGATAAAACACTCTTACAATCTAAGACCGGTGGATTTTTGTGCCTATAGAGTTGCATGGGATTACTGCACCTATTACTTTTCTCTAGATTTACGGAACAACTGGCCAGGTGGCCTTTTCTGGTCCTCCACAGTTCCATTCCAAACTCACTCAACAACTATACTGCTTATTTTTCCGACTGATTATTTTCCTGCTTCCATCCCCCTTTCTTCTCTCTCTCTCCTCTATAATTTCCTCGGTATCTTTGCTGCATATTTGGCTTCCTTCTTGAGCAGGTTCTCCAGTAATGTTTGCTCACGTAAACCGTTCATTACACTTTTGTTCATTCGAGCAAAACACTCAGAGAAATGCAATGATCCCGAATCCATTTGAAGTTGGTGTATCCTGCTGTGGTTCAACTCGAGCCACCCGAGTAATAATAATACAATAATGTAATAATAATCCTTGCATTTTGGTTTAGCATCTTATCATGTCGTGGCGACGTCTCAAAGCACTTCACAGAATATATTATAAAGCGGATGTATTTTGTATTTTGCTCACAAATGTATTTTGTAAGCAAAATGTGGCAGCCAATTGCGCACAGCAGTGTCCCACAAACAGTCATATTGTATATGATGTTATATTGAGTGACCAAATTATAATTTTTTTTGAAGGGATTATTATCCCTGTAAAGCGATCTGCCAATCGACTTAACAACTGGGTTCCCACTTACTGCTGGGTAAACAGAGGGTGTGTGGTGTAAGGAAACTTGTCTAATTCCCCACCCGGTCCTCTCGCTTGCGAGGCAAGTGCTCTAACCAATACACTGCAGGACTATGTTACATAACAGAAGCCTGAAAATTCAACCCAGTCTTAGGTTGTAAGACTGTGTTGCCATATAATCCATAAAACTGCACAGAATTGTGAAAAATTTCTTAGGTTAGGTCTTAATTTGGTAATCTGTTCCTTTTAGTAACTGCGGAAAAGCAATTTCAATTTTCCGCAGTTGTCCACAGTGGCACTTATAAACACATAAACATATGGATGACATACAAACTATTTTTAAAATCTGATATTTAGACACTTTCTTGGAATGTCAAACCGCACACTGCACTTCATTCAAAAGCAGCAGTGAGACCGAAGCATATGGTGACATCTTGTTAAGCGTGGAAACAATTTTTTGGCTGTTTCAAGTAACAGTTCTGAGACTGGAACATTTTCTACAAGACATCTGTCTGTCTCAGAGGCAAGTGCAGTATTGTGTCGGTTTGGCTAGGTAGTAAAACTCTCGCCTGTGGGTCAGAAGGTTACTTATAATTTCGATTTCCACATCAGGATTTAAGATCATATTAAGTGCTGATAGTGCTATCCTTCAGATGTTACATTGAGGTCTTGTATGGTTCAGGTAGACGCTAAAACAATATTTTGATAGACTCGGATTTTTAATTGACTTTGGACCCACAAAATGTACAGTCAATTCAGTTTTCAGTTTACGTCCTCGAGACGTCTCGAAGCCCTTTACAGTGAAGTGCTTTGAGACGTTTCGAAGACGTGATAAGGTGTTATATAAAATGCAAGGATTATTATTATGACATTCTCTGAGAGACCAACACTAACAACAATACCTCTAACTTGTGTGTCAGCCTGGCACAGCGGTATAGCACTCTGGCCTCTGAGTTCAGAAGGTTGTGGGTTCAAGCCCCAAGTCGGGGCTTGGAATCCCACAATCTAAGATGACACACGGTGAGTGGGTTGAATTGTCGGAAGTGCCGTCCTTCGGATAAGTCGTTAAACCAAGGTGCCGTCTGCCTTTTCAGGTAGACATTAAGGATCCCATGTATTTAAAAAAAAGGGAGATTCTCCCAGCGATTGGCCAACAATTCTACAAATAATATTGTTTCACTCACTCCATGGCTGTTTGTGGTTAGGTCTTAATTGATGTGTGCAAACTGGCTGGCGTGTTCTCTCACAAAATCCACAGTCAATCCACTTTATAGTATATGCTGTGATATGCTTCGATACATCTCGATGACATCTCGTCTCGAGTGCTAGATTATTATTATTAATATCTGTGTAAGTAACTTTTAGTAAGCGTTGCTGAAACATTAATAATTCATGTCCATGTATAACAGTAACCACAAAACTGTTCAATTAATAGAACAAGAGTCATCTACCATGCTGTCAAATCTCATGCAATTATAATTGCTTTATTGATGAACACCCATGATCCGGAAAATATGGCAGTTAACACATCTGGTAGGAACGTTCTTCACCACTGAGCCAGCCACCATGCACTGTGTTAGGAACCTTGCCCACTCATGCTTGTACACTGTGACCTAGTAAGCGAGTAGATTTACACCACATAATCCTAAGAGTCCTGTAGCTTAGTGGTTAGATCACTCGCCTCATAAGTGAGAGGACCTGGGTTCAGATTCCCGGGCAGGGTGAAAACTTCGGCAAGTTTCCTTAGTCCACACGCCTCTGTTTACCTAGCAGTAAGTAGGAACCCGGTTGTTAGTCGATTGCGGATCGCTTTTCTGGGGTCAATAATCCATTCCAAAAACAAATAAATAATAATATTTTGGTCACTCAATCCACGACTGTTTGTTGGACGCTGCTGTGCGGAATCGGCTGCTGGGTTTCTCCCACAAACATATGCACTTTACGGTCTATTCTGTGATGCTCTTTGAGAATCCCCATATTAAGGTTATGAACACCAATGAACTATGTTATCTTTCCGCTGTGTTTGACATCCGTTCTGTGTTTTTCTTTTTTTTTCCAGGGTTCATGTCCGACAAGCCTTTCGGATCTCAGTTCATGTGCAGTGTGGTGGCTTCCCACGTCAGCCACCTCCCGCAGACCAACCTCAGCTTTGTGTGGATCGCTCCGCCCGCAGGCACAGGCTGCGTCAACTTCATGTGAGTAAAGCGTACCCTGGGCGCGGTCGAAGAGAAAGGTCTTCAGGTGTGATCTGAAGATGGGGAAGGAAGGGGCAAGACAGAGGGATAGATGAAGAGTGTTCCCAGAGTTTCGGGGTGCAGTGGCTGAAAGCGCAGCCACTACCTGGGTTCGAAGTGAGATGCTAGAACATAAGGTCCTTTTGTGGTAGTGTTGCACAATATCACATGGTTATGAGGGTAGAGAGTGGGGCAGGGCGGGGTGGATGTGTGGTGGGCGGGACAGTCTAGTTGGGCCGATTGGCCTTATCGGTTCAGAGGTGTAGTTCTGTGTTGTAGTGTATCACTGTAGCATCTTATACACCACCTCACGGTCCCGTCAAGAAGAAGACTCATTGAGCAGCCTGTGCCCACAATGACAGCATGTTCCAGCAGAGAAGCAGATTCAGTGCTGGTATTTTATCCCCACGAGCCAATTTAAACCCACACCTCTTTCGCCCCCTCTCCCACCTTTACCTTTTATTATTCCTCTTCCAGCATCTATCTAAATCCCTTTTAAAATAACCTACGGACTCTGCTTCAACTCTGCACTATTCCACATTCCAACGCACCCTCTCTGGATTGACTTTTTGTTTTCTGACCACCCTTTTGAACGTGAAAAGCAAACGAGAGAAAATGCGTAGATGTATCAGTTGAACCACTTTAATGAATTTGCATTATTTTGCCCGCAAAATACAGTCGGTTCACTTTACAGTATATTCTGTGAAGGGCTTTGAAGCATCTCAACGACATGATAAGGCGACATATCAAATACAAGGATTATTATTATTATTATCAACTGCAAACATCCTTCCCTCTAATTCTTTTCTCATTATACGAACAAGCTGCAGGGCTGGGCTGATAAACATACACTGGTGCGTATTGTCTAATGCACTGAAGCAATTGCTGGTGTTGTTTGAACCTAATCCTCACTAACAGCATCGTAACTATTGTGTTGTTCTGCAAAGCTGTTTGTCACCCTTTTACGGCCCTCACGATAGCTTTCTATTACACGATAACTGAACCGATTCAAACGCTGGTTTAATTAACAGCTTATTTTCGGGATTCTAAGTTATCCTCAGAGAGGTTATTGCTACAGTGAGAGGAGCGTAATGATAAACCTATAGAGTATAGCAGCGCTCCAGTGGCCGCTAATATAGAGCCCATTAAAAAGGCAAACAAAGCCTCTGCAAATGTGTGCAATCCTGTAGCAAAATCCCCGTTGTGAGGAGTGAGAGCTGGTTTGACTGCACGTGTGAGTAGCACAGTGTGCCAGCTGGTTCCCAACCTTAAAAGTAAAAGCCAGAATCACGTGTGAAAGTTACATAACAGCAACGACGGCAAACCTCACAAAAGTTGTATCAATTGGGACCATACCTTTAATATGACTTGTGCAAAGTTTGAGTTACGTCAAACCCGCGTAGATTAAAACCTCTTGAACGGGTGTGCGACTTAGGCGATTATCCGATTTATGCAGATCAACAACAACACATGACATTTGTATAGCGCCTTTCACGTCAGGAGGATCATAAGATCAGACTTGCGCGAGCATTACTGTACTTGGATTTACATAGCGTCCTTCATGAGAGGTAGCGTCTTGGAGCACTTAACAACGGCATAGTTTGCCACTGAGGCAGGGGAGAAAGGGGAGGTGACCATAGACTGTAGGTTTAAAAGGACGGTGGATGGATATTTGGAAAGTAACCGTATTAAGGATTATGGAAAAGGTGAGGAAATGAGATGAAAAGAACTATCATGATCTTAATACAATTATGGAACAGAACTAATGGGCTGAATGTCCTCCTCCTGTTCCTAACACAGAAAAGTTTTCCAAAGACTTTTGCATGAAGACAGCGTCTCCTCAACGAACATCTCAGCAAGAATTAACGGCCCCAAAGGTGTTGTGTGGGCTTTCTGAACTCCTCACTGATCTGTCCTCGTTCTGCGTTGCTTGGCATTCACGAGCGTTAGCTCGAGAACATCAGTGAAAAGAGGCGTTGCTCTACCCTGAATGCTTCCTGTGAAAGCAGTGTGTTTCTTCGGCAGCGACATGCTTTCTTCACTCCGTTTGAGGAAGGGTAGAGAAGTGGGAGGTGATCAGGCTGTTAAGGAAGGTGCAAAAAAGGCACGTTGCACAGCAGAACACAGTGAATTGATCTGAAATAGTGGGACATATATTAAAGAGACAACGCGATGCCTACATGCAGGATAAGGGAATAGAAGAATAAAGGAGAGGAGAATACAAGGAGTGGGGGCTCGTGTGGAGTATAAACAATGGACTAGTTGGACCAAATAGTTTGTCTCTATGCGTTTAGAGGAATAATCCATGACCATAATTAGACAAGCTGGGGCTCTCCAGTCTTAAGAGAAGATGACTCGGGGGATATCTGATAGAGCGATACAATATTTTAAATGGGATTGAAAAAATAAACCCAGAACAATAACTTAGAATGTATTAAACAGTAGGACAAGAGGACATAGGTGTAGAGTTGTAAAGGGCAATTTCAGGACAGGTACCAGGAAGTTTTTCTTTTCACAGAGGGTAATCAGTGACTGGAACTAGTTGTTAGGAAGGATGGTAGAGATCAGGACACTAGACTCATTTAAAAAGCAGCTTGATGCCGTGATTAGGGGATGGTAGGGTGGGTGTGCTGGAGGGATGAGATCGGATGGACCAAAGGCACTGCTTCATCCAGATCAATCTTGTGATCTTGTATTATTATGTAGTTCAGGCTGATTTTTGCAACCAGTTTGAGACTAATGTCCCGAGTAATCAAAGATCACAGAGACAAGAGGAGTGGTACATCACCAAAACAGTTCCCTTTCCAACATCTTTCCCCCCCGTACTCCACACGGCTCTGTTTACCTAGCAGTAATTAGGGACCTGGTTGTTAGTCGATTGGTTGGCGAATTACTTTTCCAGGGGTGACAATCTCTTAAACAAAAGTCCATTGTTCACTTCAATCCACGACTGTTTGTGGGACACTGCTGTGTGCAATTGGCTGCCAGGTTTCGTCCATGAGGTACACAGTCATTCACTTTACAGTGTATGCTGTGAAGCGCTTGGAGATGTCTAGAAGATGTGGTAAGGCGCCATATCAAATGCAAGAATTATTAAGGATTATTATTATTACTCTTAAGGTGAGATGCGTATGGAAACAGACAAATAATGTCCTGGTCAGTATCACTTCGTCCAGTAAACCTGTTCCAGTTATTGATTACAATTCAGATGTGGGAGCTACCCTCACCATCTCGGGTGAAATCACCAGCACATTCCTTACAACCATAGAAAGTTACAGCACAGAAGAAGACCTTTCGGCCTATCATGTCTGTGCTGGCTCCCTCAAGAACGATCCTTTCAGTCCCATTTACCAACCCTCTCCCCATAACAACAACAACAAATTACATTTGTACATCACCTTTCCTGTCAGGAGATGTATACTCCTGTAACTGACTATTTTTAAGTGTCTAGTTCCCTCTTGAAGGCCAGTACAGATTCTACCTTAACCACCGCTCCCCATAGGGAACTACGTATTCTAACCAATCTGTGTGTGAAAAAATTCCTCTTAACCACCCCATTTGCTCCTTTGCTAACTATCTAAAATTGATGGCCTGAGTTACTGACTCATCGTCTAGTGGAAACAATATCTCCCTATTGACTCTTATCAAAGCCCTCAATAATTTTAAAGACCTCGATCAGGTCATCCCCTCAACATAATGATAATAATAATCCTTGTATTTAATATAGTGCCCTATCATGTCTCCAAGGGCTTCACAGAATATTTTGTAAATATTTTGTATTGGATTGACTGTATTTTGTGGGCAAAGTGTGGCAGCCAATTGCGCACAGCAGTGTCCATAAAAGAAGTTGAGTCATAAGAATTTGCTAGTCAATAGAAGACCAAGGTCAATCCAGTTTGCCTTCCAGAATCCTGTCATATCCCGAATTATACGCTGTATTCTGAGGTATTATTTCCTAACAGAAATCTATCTAATTTGTGATATCGAGGGACCAAATTTCTTTGTTCCAGTGGAGAAAGTACCAGTTTCTCCTTTCTCCAAGAGAACCAAGCCAAGAGCTAAATCTGGGGCGTTCCTAGTCTGTGCAGAGCTCAGTAACAAACCAGAAGATCCATTCACCCGTTGAGCTCTTGCAGACGTAATGTCATATAAACGTCTGCCTGACGAGGAATGGAAGGCTGTCTAATCCTCAAAGGTTTATGATTTAGTGCTCTTTTTGAAGCTAATTAAAGTTCAGCCATAATTTTACCTCATCAAAAAGAAAAAGCAATTATAAAGGATTTTTTTTACCAGTGCGTGTGAGGGTGCTTTCCTACTCGCGAATCCGGTTTAAGTTGGAAGCCCTGTTGTTAAATGATAAAGTGGTGTTATTAAGGATAATAATAATATAAGCGGCGGATGCAGACGGATTAGGCAAATTTCAAGCCTGGAGTTAGAAATGAATTAAAATGGAAATGATAGAACGATGTGATGGACGTGGAACTGGGTCGGAGACACAGGACGATGGGGATCCGTCTCCAGATTAAGGAGGGATGGACTGGAGCCGATGAACATCCTTTCACTGTTTCACTATTTGATCTTCTCCTCAGGTCCTAATGAGGTATTATACTTTCTCTTCCTGCAATCCGCCCATGTGCTGTGATAGCAACAGGGAAAGACATGGAGAAAGCAGTCATCTGAAATCCATCTGATGAATGAATAAGACCTGACTCAAAGCAGCAACTGACACTTTGCCCTTTGAGGCCCGATATTGAGTAACTGCTGCTTCTAAACGATAGAGGTGTTGGTTTAAAGTCCCTAAATTCCCTAAATATGATTAATAACTTCTGACTTTGGTCCTTTAGCATCAGGTAAATAGCAGGAGCGGGAAACTTACCCCAACGTCAGCCCACTTCTGTTGAGTTAAACGAATGGCGACTTTAACGTTGAATTGGCGCAAAGTGCTTTACAGGGGAATTGCT